TCTATTTTCATACAACTGTAACATCTATCATAATTCAATTGCAGATTGCAAATGCTATGAGGACTGGCATCAGAAAGGATTTTTACCCAATTCAGATCTCAAACCACACTGGCTGGAAAAAACTGTCCCCCACAACGTATTTAATTTGAAGATGTGAGAATTGCTTACTGATCTCTGCTAAACCTTTCATGAAAATACACTGAAAGAAATTATGTGAAAATGTGTTGAGAGGAGGGGAAAAGAAGAGAAAAAGGGCAGACAAATAGAATCTCAGTTCACAGAGCAGAATGGAAGGGCTAGGAAAGCTTGTATATCTTGATTTCCAAGGCTGAATTCAAAATATTGTAGTGAGAAAGGTTTTGGTGTGACATTTGATCACTTATGTTACAGTTCTGTTAACATGATTTCCCCAGTCAGCATAAATTGCCGCTCTAGCAAACCACCCTCTTAGGAAGTACTGCTTTGATTTTCTTGTCAGGATCTAGTCATGCTAGAAGCCAATTCATAAAACTAGGCAAAGCTTAGTTCCACAGATTTGATTCCTATGGTCAGGCCCCAGTTACACTGACCAGTTTCTCTAACCAGCACAGCCATGACTCTTGTGAAATGGGCTAGTGATTTTAGTTCTAGCATGATAACCTAATGCTCACCCTTCCCCCCCAGCCAAACCAAATATGCTATAAGTGGCAACCTTGTTGGATGTCTCAATAGAGGCACCAAAGACTGAATCAGCTTAGAAACAACCATCATTTTACTCTTAAGACTAGAACTGAGGCACATGATGGGAAGATTACTTTTATAGCAGTAATCTAAACTACAATTTACAGTAGGCGCTTACTGTACTGTAGTGTGGTGGACTATCCCTGTTGAATATTACAGAACTGGTATCTGTGCTCTCTTAGTCACTTCAATGTGGTCAATCACACACCTTATATAAGTGCTAAACTTAAAAACATTAAATATTTACATAACATTTTAAATCTTCAAAGCACTTTATAGGCATAAACCAATCCTCACAACACCCCTGTGAGGTAGGTATTATCTCCATTTTACAGATGAGATGCAGCTTTTAAATGACCCGTCCATGACCCCAAAGGGAGTCAGTGGAAAAGCTGGTATGAAAATTTAGGAGTTGGTCTTCCACTCCCATGCTCTGTCCATGAAATCACTCTCAAAAAAACCCCTTCAGTTTAAGATGTAATGAAGTCATTTCAATTGCAATTATATAAAAGTGTTTTACAATAGAAATACTACATATTTTTAAATTTTAAACAAATTATTTTTAAAAATAATTGAAATTAGAAATGAAAACAATTTCTTTAGAATAAGGTCTCTTTATGAAGGGAACTGACTTTTTCTGACCAAGCTTGTCCTCTAAAACTACAGAGTTTAAATATACAGGGTGAGATCCCACTAAACATTTGTGGCTTAATAAGTGCTATACACTATCAAGCAGGAGACCCAGATTCAAATCTCAGACTCACTCTCTCAACTAGCAGGATTTGGCCCTAAAGACAAAAATCTCAGTTCCTGAGGAAAACAGGGAGCCTTTTGATCACTCAACACGAAATAATTTCTTACCTGTTAGGAGTGGCATAAACAAAGTTCCATGTGATTTATAGAAAATTAAAATGCAATGGACCTGAAAGCAGAGCTTCAATGAAGGTCACCCTTCCCTCTCTACATGAACCTTATTTTTGTAGGCCTTGAATTTCATGACCTTAGAAGACACCCCAATAGAGCTTTACCAGCTAATGGGTTAGGATGTGGCCAGAACCGACCCTAGGGGGTGTGGGGCCCAGGGCAAACCTTCCTATGTGGGGGGCCCCCTAACACTGCGTGGGGCAGTGGTACCCCCGCAAAGAGGAGGGGGTCTCCACGATTCTTCTGCGGTGCGGGGCTGAGCTGCCAGGTCCAGGCCAGCCCTGCGGGAGGGGCCGCAGCCGCTCCACCTGGCTCCGCAGGGCCCCCCACCCCAAAGCGTGGGGCCTAGGACAGTTGCCCCGATTTCCTGTACCCTAGGGATGGTCCTGGATGTAGCTAGTTAGCACTAGAAATGGTTATTTAAATCAAAAGGCGTGTGGAGAGAAAAAAGACAAGTTATTTGAATCCCCAGCTTTAGAACTGAAACCCAGTGGTAACAATCTGTTTTACCAAAGAACTCATCTTGCGTTTTCACAAAGAAAAATATAAAAATTACAATACATGGTTTATAATTAAATCAGTTGGAGTTTTATACACTGGTTGAAAAACATGAAAAATGTTTGTTTCAAACCATTATTCACTTTGCAAAGTGAGTGGGGGGGGAAATCAACACAGTGATATCATTACATTATCAATTTCAAACAGACTCAGGGTTGATTTCAAAGCCACAGAAGTCACTGGGAGTTTTTCTCTGTGGCATTCTTCAGACTTTTGATGTAACGCTTTAATTGCTGAGGAACGTAAAAGCTCAGAGAAGGTAATTTTTTAAAAAAGGGACAAGTCAAGTAGGTTAGGTGCAGAAGCAGACATCCAGCCAGAAGAAGTATAACTTAAAAAAACCTATTCCCAAAACTTTAGTGTCATCTATGAAGTTATTGCACACAAACAGACTTCTTCGCATTTTCTCAACAAAAACACCAGGTGAGGTGAAATGATCAATGTTTAACATACTGACGGTTTTAAAAAAAGCAATCAGGAAAAATGTTAAGCTTGTAAAATAAATGCAACAAAGTAAAAAAATTACAAAATTTAAAAGCTTACTGGACAGTGTCCCTTCATATAAAGTTCACTTAAAATGAAAGGATAAAATAAACTAAATTTTAAGTATTCTTCAACAGCCACTTATGAATGTCAATGTCTACAGCTTGCCTAGCCAGCTCTTAAAGCCAACACATTGTGTCAGTGATCTTGAATGTACACTGGGCTAGATTAATCAAAAAAGAATTGGTTCAGTAGTTTTGTTTTCTGGGTTGTTGTTGTTTTTTAATATTAACAAAATTAGGCTCGATAAACCACAGAAATTTTGGAATAATCTCTAGAATGCCTGGAGGTCAGCATGAATGGGAGGCACTATTTTAAGTAAATAAAGTAATTCTGAAAATATTGGATATATTTGTTTGACATACTGTTTGAGCACATTATTTTTTCAAATCAGATCTGAAAAAGTAAAAATATTTGTCTGTGAGGAATCTGGCCCAGTAGTTCAATGCTTGGCAGTGCCAATATAGACTAGCAATTCTTACTATTGCTCATGCTTCTAAGTCTGAATTGCCTTTCAGCAAAAGGTATGTTTTGAAAACTGCTACAGAACGTAAAAACTCAGATGTGAATGCTAAAAGCAGCTCCTATAAATCTGCAATCCATATGATGGAACAACGGGAAACAAGGCTGAATAAAACAGAATGACACACTGGTATCATTTTCCCATCACAAATGCAAGTTGTTTTGTTGCATACATAAGAAAGCAATATTTTTAAGGAAGAAATGTGAAGACAATTTCCCTGTTCAAAAAACATTACTAAAATCTTAAAACAGATGAAATACAATATTAATTATGAAGGAATATTGTCTAACACATTTTATGGGTATCTTAAGGTGTAGGTTTATTCCAGCCCAGTTTTCATATTAGCAACAGATTAAGTTGAGAGAAAATGTTCTGAAGAGATGGCACTTTTTGCCCTCATATTCCATACAGGACACACATGGATTTAACTCAAAGTATGCCTTGGACCACTGTGACTGGCACGGCACTACAGATTTATCCCATTTGTAATTCTGGCAAATGTGATTTTTTTTTTTTTTTTTTTTTGAATAAAAAGTTAAAAAAGGCACAGTGTCAAACA